GTGGATTGCACTGTCTTGTCTCTTTTAACATCGAAAAAACAAAAAAACCCAAACACCACTCTCCATGGCTTTCGTGTTTTTTACTCTGAGCAGCCAGAAGGCTAACCTGGTCGAAAATCCGGTCAAGGCGCCCCCCTCAGAGGTCGGTACGTGGCCTTGGACGGAAGTGGTACAGCAGAGGCCGGAGTGGCTCTGGGGTGGGCATGGAGCTCGGATTGGTGGGCCACTTCTTCCTGGGGTCCCTTCCACGGCTGCCTTCTGGGTGGCAGCTGAGGCCTGGGGCTTCTCTGCCCCACTTCCCTCCCAAAAAGGTAGGGGAAAAAGCAGCCGGCGGCTCCCAGAATGGGGCGTCTTCCCTCTTGGCTCAACTGTGGTCTTGCGCATGCAGAGGAAAGCGGATCGGACTTGCCCAACACTGTGCCAGGGTTGGCACTTTCCAGATCAACTGCCAGCTCCAGCCGTGGCACAGCTCGTTCTTCACAGAGGGCCTGTGGAAGAAAGCAGTGATCCCGCTCTGTGCTCGCATCTCCCACAAATGCTGAGCCAAGGACAAGCTAGTGCCCTTGAAGCGTGTACCAAGTGCCAGTGAGGCAGCAAACCCTGGTTTGGTCAGGAGGGGGGCTGAAGCCATGGAATCCATAGCCAGGCAGAGGAAAAGGAGGCCACAGGGAAGCGGACGGCCAGCCACATCGGCGTTTCGCTCTAATAGGGACACACTGAGGGACCAACAAGGCCAGAGCGTGCAGCATTTCATCTGGCACTGCCGCCATATTTGGCTGATGCTTCTCCGCGCACCTCCAGCCAAGGAGGCTTTGGCTGACCCGTTGCTGCAACCGTCACAGTTATGCCTGACGCAGATGGATGGAAGGAGCGACCAATGGGAACGCTGCCCCTTGCGATCCCGGCTCTTGGTGGACCCAGAGGCTGCTGGCCAACTGCATCGGAGATGACCCGTGGCAATCCAGATGCCAAAGGCGCTAAAACAAAGAGGAAGCCTCAGGGCCCAATAGCTAGACCCCCCCCTCTGCAGTGCCTGCACGGCACCTGCACGGTGGGGGAAAAGAGGACCGGAAGAAGGATCAGGCAGCCCTCTCGCCCTGCCCTGCCCTGCCCAGCCCTCGGCACCTGCTCTGTGCCCACCCGGTCCCTGCTGCGGCTCTCGTCTGCCTTAACCCCTTAGCAGTCTGGGGTTAGATGCCTCCCTGTGCTCTGCCAGCTTGCTTAGTAGAAGGAGGGGGCAGCGAGTGGGTCTGGGCTGTTGTTCTGGGGCAGCTTCTGTATGCAGCCCCCAGGAGAAGCAGGCAAGATGCAGCCCCGAAGCCCAAGCCGAGGCTCAGCTGAGGATTCCCCCTGGCTCCATTGTCCAGGGGGCTCTGCAGGCTTTCTGGAGGAGGGGACGGGAGGGGCCCCCGCCTAGTGGTCACGCAGGGCCCAATCCTCCCAGTCAAAGGGTCAGCGTGCATCCTGCCCAATGAAGCTGCCCCATGGGTCTGCCCACTGTTGCTGAAGTGGGTGGAAGCTGGGCGAAGGAGCTTTCCCTGATTGATAGATAGATAGATAGAATTCTTTCTTGGCCAAGTGTGATTGGACACACAAGGAATTTGTCTTTAGTACATAAACTCTCAAGTGTACATAAAAGAAAAGATACTTTCGTCAAGAGTCAAGATCACCAGGTTCAACACTTAATGATAGTCAGAGGGTACAAAAAGCAATCAAATCATACTAGGAAACAGTCCATATAAATCGTAAGGATGCAAGCGAGAAAGTTACAGTCATTCAGTCACAAGTGGGAGGGGATGGGAAGGTTAATTAATGACTGCCCCTCCGCCTGAGCCACCCTTGTGGAGGGCTGGAATGGCCCAGCCGGTTTCTTCTCACCTCTGGTCACTTGGACCTGGAGCTTCAGCCTCGTGGCAGGCGGTCCTCCCTCCCCCCAATGCACAAGGCCTTCTCTCCTGGGAGACCCTCACATCCTGCCTTCTAAAGAGCTTTTTCCATGGAGATCCCTACAGTCTTAGAGTGGAAGCCACGCAGGGCCCGGCCATGGTCTCTCGTGCTGCAGGGGGAAGGGAAGAGTAGCTTCCACAGTGCCCCCCCAACCCACCCCTTCAGCCTTGCCCTATGCAGAGTTGCTTTCCCAACCCTGCCTGCTAAGGTCCCGCCAGGGCGTCTTTGGGTATGGGGACTTCTTTGGTGGGCTTATGGGCTGGCAGCAGCCACAGTGCCCCCTGGTATTTCCTCACGCAGCCGCCACTGCGTAGCTTGGGACTGTCCCAGAGATCCTGGGGGCCTCCCGGGAACTTCATAAGAGATCTCTATGGTCCCAGGGCACCACCCAAACCACTGCACTACGCTGCTCTGAGTAAACCTTTGGTCTGCAAGGACTGGACGTGGGTCAGCAGGTCTCTCCCCCATCTGCCAAAGTGAAATCCCTCCCTTTGAAATGGACCAGGTGGTTCAACCTCAGCAGGGAAGCTCAGGAGATGCTATGGGCCCCCAGCACAGCAAGCTACAGACGCTACAAGAATAACCCTTGGAAGGGACTTGGAGGTCTTCTAGTCCAGCCCTCTGCTTAAGCAGGAGACCCCCCCTATTCCATTCTGGCCAAAAGACAGCCCAGATGCTTCTTAAAAGCCTCCAATGTTGGAGCCCCCACAACTTCTGAAGGGAAGCCAGTCCACTGATTAATTGTTCTCACGGCCAGGACACCTTCTTCTCCGTTCTAGGACATAGGCAATCCCTGCACTCTTCCTAGAGCCTCAACATCTTTTTTGTATCATGGCAACTAGAACTAGACCCCTCATTCCAAGTGTGGTGTTATTAGCGCAAGCGGCATCAACACTTCCCATAATCTTGATGCTGTGCCTCTGTTGCTGCAGCCTAGGACTGCATTAGCTTTTGTGGGCGCTGCAGCACAATGCTGGCTCAGGCAGTGGTCCATCAGGACTCCTAGCGCCCTCAGGCAGTTGCTGCCGTTGGATGGTCCATCACTGGGGGCTTTTAAGAAGACATCAGACTGCCAGAGGGTATAGACTAGGGGGGTCAGACTCAAGGCCCATGGATGGATCTGGCCGGCGGGGTGGTTAGATCGGGCCCACAGGGCCAGCCTGGAAATAGCAAAGGACCGGCCTGCAGTGCTTCTGCTATAAAAAATGGGGCACATGGAGGAAAAGTAAAATGTTTTACCTTTCAGGCTTGCAGGATTCTGCCACTATAGCCTGTGTCAACAATTTATAGTTCTAGTCTTCCTATGGAATCAGTTTCTTGATCTGGTCTCTCTCTCTCTCTCTCATTAGGTGATCAGGTAGATCAAGAAAGTATTTAAAAAAACAATCACGGAAATGTATATCTCTTTATAAGTGTGTAAAACTGTGTGTTTGGAGGTGCGGTCCCGAATCACACCCACCATGACCACCCCGCACCCAGCTACCCCCACCCCCCGCCCTCTGAGGTCAAAGACAACCTTGATGCGGCCCCCAGTGAAATTGAGTTTTGACACCCCTGGCATAGACTACAGAGTGTCTCCTGCTCGAGGTTGGCCTAGAAGGCCTCCAGGGTCCCTTCCCACTCTGTTATTCCGCATTCTGCATCCTCTCCGTGCTGAAGCCCCACTCTGGACGCCGATCGTTTTGAACGTCAGCACCCACAGGTGGGCGGAGGACTCCGCTGGGGACCTCGAGGGAAATCTCCTGCGGCCAGAACTCTGCATTCCCGTTACTGCAGCTCAAGGTAACTTTAGCCGTGGTGGCAAAGCTGGCTCCTATTTGCCTTGTGCCCAAGAAGGACCCCCCAATCCCTCCCGCGATGACAGTCTTGCAAAACACCCGGCTCCGCAGGGAGATCTTGCAGGTCTGCACACACACCCCGCTCCCCCCCCCCCCCCCCACTGCCTCCCTCCTAGACGTTCCCTTCCAGGGACTCTGACCTTCAGAGCGGCTTCTGTCAGGCCGCCCCGCCCCCCCCTCCCCCCCCCCCCCCCCGCGAACTTCCCCCCCTCGCCCTGCAAGGTCTTTTCTGCAGCGCCTCCCCTTGCAGGGGGCGCCCCTCCCCCCCGCCGAAACCCTCGACGGGCGCCCCGGGTTCTTTTTGATCGGGGCTTCCCTTCGGCACCTCGGACGGCGTCAGGGGGTCGGCACCAGAGCCGTGTCCGGAGAGCTTCGGAACCAGCCGGGCCGCTCTCGAACGCCGCTGGCGGACGAGGGGCGCTTTTCCCGGCGCGCGCTCGGCAGTGCGGCACTCGGCGTTCCACGGGCGGCGCTTCCACTCCTCGCCGCGGGGCGGCGCTCTCCCGGCCTTTCCTTTCCCCGCCCGCCGCCGGCCGAGGGGAGCCAGGACGGCAGCGCCGCCTCCTCCGCGCGCGTGACGTCGGGCGTTGGACGCCGCGCGGTGACGCAGGGCTGTTGCTGAGGAACGCCGCCCGGTGCGCCCGCCTCCCCTTCCCGGCCGGAACCCCGAGCGCGGCGCCGGGGACGGAGGGGCCGCAGGGCGACGGACAGCCGAGCGGAGGACGGACGGACGGACAAGCGGGCGGGCGGGCGGCGGGGCCGCGCCGGAGCCAGCGGAGCAGCGCCCGCCATGGTGCTCGTCAAAGAATAGTGAGCGAGGGGAGTTCCGGGGGCGCGGGGGGATTCGGCGGGGCGAGCGCGTCCCTTCCAGGGCCCGCAGGGGCGACCCCCCTCCCGCCTGACCTCAGCCGGGCGCCGCGGCGGGGAGCGGGGCTGGCGGGCCGGGCTCCCCGGCCAAGGACCCCTGAAGGTCCCGCCGCCGGCCCGGCCTTCCCGGGAGACGCGCCGCCCCTCCGGCTCCTGCGTGACGGGGTGGGATTCGTCGCCCCCCCCCGTCGTCCTTGGCCGCCCGGACTTTCCGGTTCCAGCCGCTCCGCCCTTGGCCGCGGGGGGGAGTTCCCCGCGTGACCTCCGGGGGGGCGCCCGGGGGGCTGCCGGAGAGGGGCTGGACCGCGTGACCCGGGGGCTTTGGGGAAGGATGGCGCCGGGGGCTCCGCGAAACTCGCCAGTCCAGCTCGCTCCGTCCGTCCGTCCCTCCCGGGGGCTCCTCCGAAGCTTGGAAGCGCCGGCCGGGCTGGCTTGGAGCAGCTCCCCCCTTCCCCCGCGGCCATTCCCCCCCCCGCCTCCTTCCCTCCCCCCGCTGGCGGCCTTGTGGGTCGGTGCAGCGCCCCCCCTCCCTCCCCCCCGCGGGCGCTGCTGCTGGGAGCCGCTTTGCCTGGTGAGTTGCGGGGGGGCTGAGCGGACGCCCCGAGTTGGATCCCGTCGGCCGGCGCCCGTTCGCGGCTTGCGCCGTTAGTGCTTTCCCGGGGCGGGGGGCGTGGGGGGCGGTCGGCCAGGGCAGCGTCCTCTAAGTCTTAAGTCAGCCCAGACTCTCTTCTTGGGAGCCGGGCGGAGGCAGCTCGGGCTGCGGATCTCGGGGTGGTTCCCGGCGGTGTCGGGTTGCCCGCCTTGCAGCGAGCGAGCGAGGCTGCTGCCTAACTCCGTTTCTTCCGCTCTCTTGCAGCCGCGTCGTTTTGCCTGTGTCGGTGGAGGAGGTAAGTCATGCCTTCCACTTCTTTTGTCTGCTTTTATTTTATTTACTAAACCAATGTATTTGGCCACCCGGCTCCCCTTGGCTTACAACATTAAAAAAAAACTATATGAAACACACACACCCCCAGCAACACAGTCGGATGGACCGCTTGATCGGTTTGGGTGGGGGGTGCAAAACCTTTTCTCAGTCTTCCGTCCATCTTGCTGGAACTTGTGGCTATTGCCAAAGCTCAGGGAAAATGGAGGTTAATATTCCTTCCCTTCTTGCCCCTTCCCCTTCCAAGACATCCAGCCAAGCTTGGGCATCGGCTGTGTGGCGGGTTGCAAATTAACCATGGCAGCTTCTGCCTTTGTAGGCAAAGAACGCTGCCCTGGATGTAGTAGGGGAACCCCTAGGAGCGGAGAGGAAGTGGGTTGCTGAGTTCTTCAAGCCATTCCTAGCAATTTCGGGTGAAATTCTGGTACACTGGTAGAAAGGGCAGTTCCATTTGCCTGCGAGCTTCTTCAGCTCAGAAGTGTGATCTGGCTTTCCTGCATGACAACTCTTTGCCCAAGTTTAATTTTTATTTTTGAGTGTTACTGTCACTTTGCAAGAATTGTACAACTTCGTATGTTGGTTGGTTGTTTTCTTTCTTGAGCTTTTTTATGGTTAGGAAGAAGAAGGAACAAGATTGCAAGAAAGTTTGTGTGAAACACACTTATTGTATGAAAATTGGTTTCCTGAAAAAGCATTACTGTTCCTTTTGGTGACTCTCTCTTGCTTTTTCTCAAGCCCCGATTGTCATTATTGCATGATTTGGGGATCACCTCTCACTGGAACGGCCATAAAAGTGGTTGGAAAATTCCTGGAGGACCCGGTCATGCACCTTCCTTGAAGGAATCTTTTTCTTACGGTTATTTTGTTCTGCCTCCCCCTACTGAAACCCTTTCTCTAATTTTGGCTCTAAGTCCATCAGGTATCCAAGCTGGGTGGAACGCAGGGGAGATATCAGATATCAGTGCCTAATTAGGTTAACATGGGGTTAACTGAGAAGCACAGAAGGAATAAACCCATTTTTATAAAGAAGCACCTTTTCAGAGGGTCCACTTCTGTATCCCATCAGTAGTAGCCCGCCCTAATTGTGCCTCCCTGAGGGGAAGACATTGGCTATCTTTCCACCCCCCAGGCCAAAACTCCGTATTGTAACCCTTTGACAGGGCCCTCCCAGTCATCGCCACAGAGTTGTCACGTGTCTGGCTGTGTCCTGTCGGGCTGGAGCAGCAGGCCTTTCAATGCCAAGGGAGCCGCCATGAGAGGCATATGTGAGAAGCGAAATGCTGGGCCTTGGCCTCATCCTACAGGGCTGCGCTTACGCTCTTGCCTAGCCATCCTCTGCCGTTCCTCCATGTTTGTGCACTCGCCTAGGTTCATGCTTCTCGTCACATAAACCTTCCCATTCTTCTAGTCCTCTAGATTGTGCCCCGAGGTGCTCAGCCACAGCCTTCAAATGCGTGTTGACTCTTCAGCGTCCATAATCCTCCAGTTCTGGAGAGCCCTGGGCTGCCCACTCCCACCCCTTCCTTTGCAGAATCATAGCAGGGGCCATGGGGTGTTGGGGGTTGCTTGTGAACCCGGCACCAGCACTGACCGGGAATTGCGGACTCTCTGGATGCAGAGCTGTGACTGCAGGCTCTTGGGTGCTGCAGGGCCCCGTGGTGGCCCCAGAGATGACTTCACAGGTACCGCCATCCATTCTGGCGGAGCAGTTGTGAACAGAGCAGTGTGGGCAGAGGAGCAGGCAGCCCCAGCTGCCCTTTAAAGGCCCAGCTAGCGAAGAGGGGGCTGGTGGGCAACGGTGGGCATTCCCTTTGGCCTCGGTTCCCCACGCAGAGCCTGGGCTGAGGCGGCCACCGCAGATCCATGTGGGGGAGCCCAAGGGCCGCATGCCGTCTCAAAGCATTTCGCTGCCGAGTGGCTCCGATGGGAGGGGAGGCCGACTCCCGTTCCTGGGCCCTGCCATCCCAGCCAGGAGCAAGCAGGCCCCGGCGTCCTGCCTGCCCCACCCTGCCCTGCAGAGGAGCAGCGTGGCCACTGGCGCTCTCTGCCCGTGCTGGAAGGCGCCCCGGGGGTGGAAGCCACTCCCGCGGCAGCTCTGCTTGAGGCTGTCCCGGATGGGTGCCAAGGTGGACCTGCCTCCGAAGCCCCTGCCAACAGGGCAGTTCTGTGGGCAGGTTGGAAAGCCTTGCGGGCAAAGGGGGTGCCCCGGGCTGCCCCTCTGGAGGTGTCTCTTGGGCATGCGCCAGGCGAGGGCCTCCAGGAGAGATTGGCCAGGCTGGTCATTGAATTAGGCCTCGTTTGGGCACAGCGTGTGTGGGTGTCTGCTCGGCCGCCCCCTGTGCTCCCGCAGGAGCTGCTACTCCTGTCTCCTCCCGAGGCGTGGATAGGGGAGGAGGGGGGTTTTGCCAGAGGGGCTGGCCTCTCCCTCTGGGGCCAGGCCTCATGCAGGAAGAACAGGGAGGGGGCTGCTCTGTTGGGCGGTGGGCCAAAGAGCAGAGGCAGCAAGTCCTCTCCCTGAAAACAGCACTTGGGATCCCCGGAGTTGCCCTGAGGGGCCCGAGCTCCTCCTCGTTCTGGTGGGGGATGACCAGCAGCCTGTCCTCTTCAGGACTGAGCTGCACCTTGCAGAGGGGGGGCGGTGGAGATGCGCTGGGCAGGTGGTTCCCTCCGCTCTTCCTTAAGCCCCGATGCCCTCCGGCTGGCCTCGGGGCTCTCGGGCAGGGCTGGCGGGCTGGGGATGCCAAGGCTCTGCAAAGCGGGTGCAGAAAATCGGCCCAGGCAGAGCTCCCACCGCTCCTAGCAGCGTGGCAGTCGTTCACAGGCCCAGAACTGCTGGATCCTGCCCCAGTGTCCCCTGTGTGCTTTGCTTCCCCGCAGCCTCGGGTGTGAGGGTTGGGTTCCCAGGCTGCTTGCTGGCTCGCTGTGCGTCCAGCTGTCCTGTTTGGAAGCCACTAACTCTGCCGTTTTTTTCTCCCTCCAGTACCAGGTGGGGCAGCTATACTCCGTTGCGGAGGCCAGCAAGAATGAAACCGGTGGGGGCGAAGGGGTGGAAGTGCTGGTGAACGAGCCCTACGAGCGAGACGGGGAGCGGGGGCAGTACACACACAAGATATACCACTTGCAGAGGTAGGTGGCCGATGGGAGGACACCCCCCACCCACCCCCCACCCACCCCCACTCAGGAAAAGGCAAAGGGCACAAAAAGAGCCAAATCCAATAAACACCAGGAGATTCCTGGGTGCTTGGCATTCACACAAATCAGCCACCGAGGCTCACCGAGGAAAAGCCTCACTTGCCTAACGTTCCAAAGACGCAATACAAAATCAGAACAGGAACTGGAAAAAAGCATCCCCTCCACAGCCGGCATCCGGAGAAGCAAAGATCCACACCAGACAAGCCGTCAGTCAGGAGGAAATTGACCCCACCTCAAAAACCAAACGAGAGAGATCCCTGGCAGAGCGAGCCCACGCTTCCCCCCGCATGGATGCACCGAGGACCCCACAGGCCAACCCTGCACTGCAGATACTCCCCCCGCCCCGCTGGAAGCGGACTCTTTGTTCTCAGGGATTCCCCCAAAGCGCTCAAGCGGTGACCGCTAGTCCGGCCCACCGGCTGCTGCTGAGGGGTCCCAGCTACCCCTCCTCTTCCTACAGAGACCACCTGCTGGTTGATAACCAGGGAGGAAGGGGGGCTGGGGGTTTGGTGCTGGGACTTGCCCTTCCGTCCCTAGGAAGCCCTTTCGGTCCAGTGGCCCTGGGACAGCCAGAGGGAAGGTGGGATGGCCTCCGGGTGCCCGTCCATTGGGAGGAGCCCTTGGCAACTGGAAACCCTGACCACCACCGTCTCCGGCAGCAGAAAGAAAGAGGAGCGGGCGGCCTCAGGGTTGCAGAAAAACCCAGTGGAGAACTCCGAGACAGGCAGGACTAATACGGCTTCCAAAGCGGACAGGCGGGACCTTCTGACCTCTTCTCCCCTCTGTCCTGCAGCAAAGTCCCCCCCTTCGTAAGGATGCTGGCCCCTGAGGGTGCCCTGGACATCCACGAGAAGGCCTGGAACGCCTACCCTTTCTGCCGGACCGGTGAGTCCCGCAGGGCGGTTGCCGCTGCCGCTGCCTGGCCAGGCTTGGGCTGGGGGCTTGCGGGAGGGATGCCGGGCCCCCTTTCCTCCGGTGGGAGGTGGGGCTGGTGTTGGGGAGGTGTCCTAGGCGGGAGGTGCTGGATGCTCTGAGCTGCTCCAGAGAATTTCCACCGCTCAGGCACAGCCGCTCTCCTGCCCTCCCGGGGGAGGGAAGGCTCGGCCGGGGCGCGGCACCACTTCACAGCGGGAAGCCTGGCCATTCCCTCCCCGGCTGCCCTGCAGGAGCCCCTCAGCTCAGCCCTTCTGAGCGGTGGCCCCGCTGCCCAGAGATCCTCCCCAGCACAGCTCACCTGCCACTGGGGCTCGGCTGGTGCCCCTGCCCTGTGCCTTCCGCTCCTCCCCGCCCCGTGCTGCCTGGCTTGCTTGGGCACCAAGCCTGCACCCCCTGGGGGGTGGGGCCCCTATGTGGCTGCAGTGCCTGAGCCCTGAACTGGGGGGGAGGGGGCGCCTTGCGGCGGCGGCGGCTGCTGCTACAGCCAGGGCCCCCTCCTGCGAGAAGCTGCCACCTTCCCCTCATTGATCCTGGAGCCTGGCGCCAGAGCATCCAGTTACTGGCCAGCGCGGCCCCGGGTTGGGTTACCTGGGTTGGGTTACCCATGAGTTAGGAGTGAGAGAGAGCCAGGGCTGTGGGGAGGGCCAGGCTTTTCCAACCGGGGGGGCGGGATGGGGGATGGGGGCTGCTTACCTGCTGGAGAGAAGAGCTCTGCTGGGGTTGCCCATTTTCTCGAGAGAGGGGCGGGGGAGGGAGGGGGGTGGGTCCAAACCGAACGGGGCTGGGCTCCCAGGCTGCAACCAGAGCAGGGCAGAAGGGTGGAGATGCCAACCGAGTGGGCAGGACCACGGTGGTGGCTACCCTGTGGGGGGCAAGCGGCAGAGCTCCCTGTTGCAGGAGGACGAGGCGGGGGCTCTAGGCATGCTGGCCCTTCCCGCTGGCCAGTGTTTGCCCCTTGGGAGGGCCGGCCGGGAGCTGTGGCTGCATCCCTGAGTAAAGCTCCCCCCCCCTCTCTCTCTCTCTCTCTCTCTCTCTCTCTCTCTCTCTCTCTCTCTTTCTTTCCATGTCTCGGGGCTTGGAGCAGTTATAACGGTAAGTGGAGCTTCCAGCCCCTGTTGGGCAAGTGGCTGGACTGCCAGGGGGACATGCCAGCCTCAGGCGGGGGGCCGGCGGTGCTGGGTCCTTTTCGTGGTCAGGGGCTCCCTTTTGGGTCTGGAGGTCCAGAGCGCTTGGTCTACTGATCAGGCAGCCCATCTCCTCAGTAGGCGAGGTGGCCGGGGTCTCTCTCTCTCTGGGGCGATGACGGGGACGCTCATTTTGACCCGCTCGGAAGGCAAGAAGGAGGGGGGGAAGCACCCCAGCTCCTCCGGCTCCTCCTCATCCCTGTCCCTGTCCCTGGCTTCCCTCCAGGCTCTTGGGCCCCCTGGAGACCCTCCTCTGCCGGCTGCCTCTTCCCGGCTCTGCGCCCCCCAATTCTTCTTAGAGCTGGGAGAGACACACACACCCCCGCCTCCACTGGGTGCGCCTGCCTGGCAGCCCTGCTCTCGGGCCTCAGCCAGTCCTTGGGCCTGGGGGCCTGGGGGCCTGGGGCAGGGGGGCCGAGCGAGGCTCGTGCAGCCTGGATCCATTGCCGCCTCCTGAGGGGCTCTCAGAAGGGGGGCGGCGGGGCGGGGGACGACACGGACCCAGGGAGAGATCGAGGGCACGCAGGAGCCCAGCTGGGGTTGAGGGCCTTGCCCCTCCTTCCCAGCTGAAAGGACTTTCTCCCCGGCAGAACGAGTACATGAAGGACGACTTCCTGATCAAAATTGAAACCTGGCACAAAGCAGACATGGGCATGCAGGAGAATGTAAGTGGGGGGGGAATGGGGGGGGGGGGCCGGCCTGCGGGTGGCGGCTCCGCTGGGGGCCCTCCGGGGGGCTTTTCTGGCAGGAAGGGGGGGGAGGAGGGGGGCGGGTGGTCTAATGCCATCACCCCACCCCACCCCCCACCCCCCACGTTTTCCTTGCAAGGAGGGAAGGGACGCCTGGCTGCCCCCTTTGAGCCCTCTTGACTCCGTCCCGTTCTGTACCTGCAGTTTGTTCTTGCGTGTTTTTCCTCAGGAATTCTTTTGCAATTGCTCTCCCCCCCCGCCCCCCCCCCAAAACAAAACCCCTTTCGGGGATGTCCCGAAAGCGGGGGGGGGGGGGGGGGGGGAGCCTCGGGGCTAGACTGAAACCTGCCCCTCCTTGTCCCTGCAGGTCCATAAACTGGATCCCGAGGAGTGGAAGAACGTGGAGGCCGTTTATATAGACATTGCAGACCGCAGCCACGTGCTTTCCAGGGTAGGGCGGTGGAGGGGAGGGGGCCACTCAGGCATCCCTGCTGGCTCGAAATCCGGGGTGGGTGGGGGATTGGAAGGCCTCTGTCCTGGTTCACGTGGCTTTACCGGCGTGGAGCCTGCCGCCCCTGCCGGCTTGAGGGCAGAGAGGAGCGAAGGGGAGGAGGGAGGGAGGGAGGGAAGGAGGAGGCCCACCCAGGCAAGCGCCAGGAAGGGGGGTGGGGAGCAACCTCCCTCTTTGGAGGTTCCTCGGAGCCTGGAAGGAGAAGGACCCTTCCATGGCACGGAGCGGGGAGTTCTCTTCTTCCTCTCCGTAACCACCTGGTCCTTCTCTTGTCCAACTCCAAGCAGGACTACAAGCCAGAAGAAGACCCAGCAAAATTTAAATCGGTCAAGACTGGCCGTGGCCCTCTGGGCCCCAACTGGAAGGTAGGGAGCCTCTCTTGCTTGCCTGGGGGGTGGGGGCGGGGGGGGGCTGAATAGAACTAGAGCGGGAGGGGAGGCGGCCAGGGAGCCCCCCGGGACCACCTGAGCAGTGGCCGCTGGCCTCTTGGGTCTCCCCAGAAGGAGCTGGGCAAGCAGGCCGGATGCCCCTACATGTGCGCTTACAAGCTCGTCACGGTCAAGTTCAAGTGGTGGGGGCTGCAAAACAAAATCGAGAACTTCATCCAGAAGGTGAGCAGCGTTTGCCGCAGGAGCTGCCCGCGGTTCCCTGGCGGCGTTTCTGCAGAGGGTGCAGCACGCTTGGGCCGTGGGAGTCGCTCCCGGCCCTTTGGGAGGGCGAGGCTGTTTCGGGGGGGCGGGGGGGGAGTGTGGCCTCCCTTGACCAAGCGTGGCTGGGCATCAGGGGCTTCCAGCCGGGCCCTTGGGCTTCAGGGGCCCTTCCCGCTTTCTTGCAGCAAGAGAGGCGGCTGTTCACGAATTTCCACCGGCAGCTGTTCTGCTGGCTTGACAGATGGGTTGACCTGACAATGGAGGACATTCGCAGGATGGAGGACGAGACGAAGAGGCAGCTGGACGAGGTGGGCGCTTCAGGGGTGGGGCTGAGGTGGGCTTCGCACCTGGGCCTGCTCTCCTTCCTCACCTTCCCTTCTCTGCCACAGATGAGAGAGAGGGACCCTCTGAAAGGCATGTCAGCTGCAGATGAGTAGCGGGGATTCCTTTCCCACATGGTACGTGGCCAAGGGTGCCCGGCACTCACACTCGCTCCCAGGTTCGGAAAGAGGAGCTGAGGCTGGGGGGGGGGGGGGGGAGAAGCCGGGTCCCCCCCCCCCCCGGGCCCCGTCGGGGGGGCG